ATACGATTCTGATAAGTATTTATTGTCTCAACTATTTTTTAATCGTATCTGGTCAGTTCCATCTATACTAAAACTTTACTAAACATTGTTCCCCTGGCCATGGTTACGATCATGTATTATGTAGCAGGTAATGGATATGGGTCATCCAACAGTACCTAATTTACTAACACTTTGAAATCGCTTCAGTTACGAGTTGCATAGCGAATAGGGTACCGGACCTGCCGGACCGAAAAATATATCTTGTAATTCGCACGGAATCCCCGAATCTAATGAAGGCTGTTCCTTTTTTGTCCACTACCACTAATGGCAAAATAACTTTCTGCCCTTTATGCACTAATATCACCACACACTTTCAATTAATCCCCACTGTACAGTTTGAGTTGTAAACTAGTTGTTTTCAATTGTAGGTGAGTAAAGTTATGTTCATAAGAATTTCGAGGCAACACAGTGACATTAGCGTCTTTTCCAACATTCATTCCAATTTCCATTAACTTTAACTTTGTAGTACTTCTACTGGCCCTCTACATCTCGGTTGATTTTTGTTTCTGTCATAAAGGTCATCTAATTTCTTTGTATAACAAATTCTGGCAAAGTTTCTAACATGTTTACATTGACATTTAGTCACCTTGGCAACACTCACCACGACCAAATGACCAATGATCATTTTCACCCTCTGACCACATTCTGTTTTATTTATTTTTTTGGTTAAGTAGGACTGGTATTTTGATTTGCAAATTGCATTAACAGTTTTAGAATCAATATTACCATTATCTCTTCTATCTGTTGATCGACCGATTCTGAATGCGAGCAATTTGTAATGCACATTTCCGTTCGTTTTGTGAAACATATTCAGGTAATTTCGATGCCAAATAAACTCGAAGCTTTTAATTGATCGACACCATTTAAGAGCGAGTGCCGTTATACTCCCAACACAACAAAGTTTTACTGCTTGAACTTCTACATGTAATCTTGTCACCAATCGGTTAGTCAATCCTCGTCTTCACTGTTACTTTTTGACCGGCGGGGGGGGGGGGTATATTACAGTTAATGTCTGGCTGATAAGCAAACAACTGTCATCAAACTACCGACAAACTTCCGACTGTTTATTACGCATTTCCAGTAATTACACTAAACTAATTACACCGCTTCCGAAATACATAACAATCTCTTACATATTTGAACAACAAACAATTTAATTAAATATATTTTGTTTGATTCTTAATGTTCTATGAAGCATCAATGGAGTTAATTATCATCATTCTTCTTTATTTCAGCAATTTCAGTTTTGACCTGGAAAAAAGGTTTTACATTTTTCATTATTTCAATCATTACCAGATGCCGACTGTGAATTTAATTGCTACACAATATCATTATATATTATATTAGTATATCAACGATATAGGCACTCGTTAGACTGTATGAAACATCACATAAATTCTGAAATATTGGTGAATATAATCATTGTTATTTGTTAGCCAAGAGTTACAACCCACTAACAGAATTTCTTTTCGACTCAAGTGCTTGCAATCTAAACATGTGTAATAAAGTTGGTTCAGAAGTCAGGATTTGACAAGTTGATACAAAATTATGTCTGTGACATTACATTCAATTTGTTAACAACAAACTAATTATAGTGAAAGCTAGTTATTGCACCAGTTATCATCAAATAATGCAACATACCTTATGTGTAACCATCAGATTGTTTGGAGCTTTACAAACAGATTGTTTTCTGTTGTCGCAATGGGCATCATTCCATCGTTCTGTAGTGGTAAAAAATAGCACATATTATTGTCGAACATAGGCTTTTGCTTCTAGGCCTCAGGGACATTGAAACATGATGCGTTGACACAGTTTGAATTATATTATATTTAGATTATTTAATACCACAACAAAATATATTTTTTCAACATTTATTAAATGGTTACTAAGATAAACAAAACATCATCTGGAGCAGAAAACAGATATAACAAAAAGATGTGTGATTCCCAGGTTTCAAACTTACGTGGTGCGATGATAAGACAGAAGGCACATTGACAACAACACTGCAAAACCCCATATTTATATATGTTCAATATTTAAACATTCAACAATTGTCAACAAGTATGTCTATGACAATCATGGCCCATTCGAATTGTATTTTTGGGAACAGGCACCTAGGAATAATAGCTGAATGTGACGGTGCATGTGTGAGGGAATTGCACCCATTTTTATATATTGCAAGTCTGCAATACATGTGTCTGCACAAGGGCGAGCAACTATTATCACAACAGCACTGGAAAAATATGGCTTTACTCAACTTAACGAAACGCCAGAGAGCAACATAGACAATCATAGATTATCCACAGTTAATGGGCAGAACAATGCACTACACAATCTTAAGTTTATTGGCTACAACTCTAAATACAAATCATTTCCCCGGGGCTAAGCAGTTCAGATAGTGCATATGTATATACAACTGTTATAAATCTTGTACTTGTGCACGATTATAGTACTTGTCAACCTGCAATATTTCTCAGTGCAGGTCATTGTTCACAATTATTCAAACTGGCAACTTAGCATTTGTTCACAGTTTTATACGC